AAGGTAGAAATCAGTGAAAGAGAAGTCATAAATATGGAAAGTCTTTTTAAAGCATGAGTGCTCGTGCACTGTCTAGGACACAAAACTTTACCTGAGGGATTACTCATGATACTGAACCTCCCACTTATAGTTGCTCAGGCACACCAGGAAGTGCCAAAAGAATGTGTTTCTTGGAGGGTTTAGAATCATTTGTAAGTAAGAATTTGCTTTGGTATATGGTGCAAAAAAAAACGTATCCCTGAAGTTGTTTTTTAAACTAAGGACATTTGGTGGCTATAATAGAACCCAAAAGGAAGTTGTATACAAACTTTTCTATGGTTATTTTTAGTTCAGCAAGTTTACCCCTGAGGTAGCCTTTTCTCCAGTCATCACTAGCAATGACTCCAGTGACGTTCTCAATCCGACTCGACTTGTACACGTGGGCTAAATAAAGACTGACAAGCCACACGGCAGTTCCCCCTCGGCGCCGGGCAGGTTTCACCCCACTTTTTTGTCAAAAAACAGCAAATAACTTCTCTTTTACATTCTAACAAACCTGTATGTGAAAACCGACCTTTGAGCATTACTGTGGTTTATGGGATATTTCTAAGAACACAGTAGTTTAAAACAGCCATGCAGTGAAGTGTCTTTGTCACGCACACACAAACACTAACATACATTTAAATATTTCTTGTGTGGTCGAGAAGACGAGAAGACCTCACATTGAGTCTGCAACACTATTCTTTCCGACAGATTGCTGATTTTTGGACCGCCAAAACCTCAGCCCAGTCTAATGTGTGTTTGTGCTGGTTTTAAAGAGCAATTAAGAGTGAAAAGACGTCACGTTTACAGCCCATTTTTATTGGGAATATGGAGGATTATGGAGGAAGGAAGGAGGGTGAACTAAGGTAGCCGTCAGATGAGCTCTGAATATCGCAGTCTCATTCTGAAAGTAAAATCTTTACTGATTAGATGGAGAAAAAGAAATATGAATAATGCTGGATTAAATAAATTGCTTTCAACATTACTTTGATTTGCCCTATTGTACTTATTGCGTAACTTGGTTAGATCATAAGAAGATAATGCATGGCCTGTGTTTGTAACCTGTCTTAGAGTTTTGCACTCTACAGTTTATTGAATCCAGTCCCGCCCCTATGGTATCTCTCCCAGGTGACAGCAAGTCTGGCGACGTTTATTCCCTCCCGTTTTCTCGCTCTGGGCCAATCAGAGACAAGCTCCAGATCAATAGGTTGCGTTTTGCCCCACCAGCCCCATTCCTCAGCCTGGGACACTGATGCTTACTATCAATAGCAATAAGGGGCTGCCATAGACACAGTTAACTGTTGGTCGACCTGCACAACTGTCTAGCGGCGGCTGATAAACATGTTGTGCACGTGAGTCAAAGAGAATAACGCTTTACTGTAATAAATCACAACTGATTAAGTAAGAAGATACAGTAGACAATGTTTATCATTTTGATTACTGTAGTTTTAAAGAATGTGTTATTTTTTGTCAAAAAAGACCCCAAACTCAAAAGTTATTGGTGGTGTTAAGTGATGTAAATCCTTCAAGATGTTTGCATGTTTTTTGGTGACATCCAGCCCAATGCCGCCTGTCAAACACCTATAACTATCTAAACATCACTTGCTGCATCTTAATATCAATTGTCAATGTCAAATGAAAGCACGTTGAGTTTTTCATGAATTTCAAAGGAACTCAAAGAGGTCCTTTGTTTGTCAAATACTATATTGTTGTTTTGATCACAAGTCAGAGTATATCAATGAGATACAGTTTTAAAACAAGTTAGATTTACAATTGTTCTACTCTGTAATCATATTTAGTGAATAAGGAACAGATCTGAATGGTTGCTTGGTGTCTTTTTTTATTAAAGCAAAGCTCATATTGACAAATAATTATGACAATATTTAGTACCTTCAGTTGGCATAGCTTCAAAAATACTGATGATATAACAATGTGACAGTACTATCCCTGGTGTTGTATAACACACAACAGTGTAGTACCTGATGCACTGCTTGTTTAATTAGGGGTCTGCTCAGCACTGACCCCTCACACCTTCATTGACCTCTTTCCCCTGATGTTTGCTTGTGAGACAAAGGTGGGCTATGAAAGAGGAGTACGCTCCGTAGCTGCAACTGAGATTGTGTAAAAACAAGCAGGACCCATTGATACGGGGTGAGCTGCAGGAAGTTGTCAGGGGCACAAAGGGAGGAGAGGATGAGCGAGACAAGTGGTGGCAGGGCCATCGAGGACAATACACAGCTCCTGATCTCTTCATTAATGGAGGCCATCCTTTGCTGCTGCTGCATCAGGTTCTGCATTCTAATGCACCCATTTTATACATGGTATACTTCAGATATAATAAACTATATTATCACATAGCCTAGTTATTTTATTAGTAAAGAAACCCCTGAATTGTCCCTTTGCGCCGTCATCATTGAAAGAACGCCATATAGTACATTTAGCTTTTGTATCAGCAGGACAGAAGGAAAATGAAGCCCTATTTCTTTCAGCATGCGGCCAGCTTACAACAATCTCTTTAATCAAGCTCCTAATCCTCATGCAAGACGTCAGTGTGCACAACTAAGGCCGGAGGCACCTTCATTGTTGCTTTGGGAGCATGAGCTCAGGCGTTAACTTACAGTAATCAACAAAAACTATTTTCTGATATAGACCATTACATGTTATGATACACTTTTGTGGACTTACATATGCAGTTGATTTTGCGCACTATATGTAAGTGCGCTGGGACCGCAGCAGTTATCTGTTTGTCGTCTCGCTTTCTCCTGTTATCTCTCAGTACGCGTGCGTGTGGGTCTGGTGCAGCTCGTGCAGCTGCGTGTGCGTGGTGGCGGAGAGGAGACCACCACGTGTTGAATGTGACAGAGCCAGGGGAGTCTCCGTGATGGCATCACATCACTGAACATTGAATCAAATATTTTTGTCATGAGCACTCCAGTGTCTGTCACTTGACGGAATACATAACATTTTATAAAATATATGTATTACCGATTATAATGTCGATGAACATACAACATATCAGAGAGGGTTGGAAAAATCTGCTCTTGGACATGTCCAAACCTCAATGTGAGCGAGACTGTTAACAGTATCCTCCTCGACTCCGTCCCCAAATGAATCCCATTTAAAATGTCTCCCGCTCGGCTGGACTGCAAATCAGCCTGTTTACAATCGCACACCAACACTCACATCAATTAAGCGCCCATTGATTTCTCTAACCGCGACATTACAATATGGCACAGGCCTTTTTCCTCTTGCAGTCATGTCAACTTCATATAATTGCGTGGGCTGTTGCGCGTATATTATTGATAATGCGTAATAATTTATCTAATCGGTGCTTAAACTCTTGGTTATTATTTTATGGAACATATTTCACCGCGTTGCGATTTCAAAGGCTGTGAAGCATCAGTGTTTGATTCTCTGACTGCTCCATGAATAAGTAAATAGTAGAGGCAAGTCGAAACTAAAAGATAGCTGACACGAGAGGAGCAGATCCATCTCGCCTGCAGCTTCTCGTTAAATATTCAGTGAAAAATAATGGCATCCCGACCATCACCTATGGTAACGTTATTATGTTCATTCCTCAAAATCAGCCCCACTGAAAGCTTCGTTTATCTTTTCCTTGTAATAAATCTAGTGAGAGCTGCGCGCTCCACTGGGACCTTTTGCCCTTAACACATCTCTCTCAAGTCTGTTTCTATTGACAGTGCAACGACATAAGAATCATCATATTATAAACAATTATATTCTTACGAGATTTGGGTACTTTATGATTATTTCATAAATAATAATGTTGTTGTTGCTATATTAATTACTATTGATTTTAAATGTTTTACAATGTCATAGGCGCCAAAACAACGCCTGTATATGCTAAAGATTATTCACTTCTAAAAGCCTTCCAAGCCCATTACTGTCATATGATGTCTAAATGTTGTTTTATAGAGTTAGGCTATCCGTGCAGGTAACTGGCTACATGTTGTTGAGATAGATAAGAGAAGAGAAACACGATGTATTAAACATGCTATTGACTTTGTTATGTTACTTCAGCTGTAGAACGGGCTTGAGTTGGTTTGTAGTTGGAAAGACAGTCTCGCTCTCGTGCGCTCAGACCTCTCGCACGCGGCTGCGCGCTCTGCCTACAGTGTGACCGATGGGCGGTCACAGAGAGAGGGGAGAGAGAGAGAGAGAGAGAGGCAGAGAGGGGATGGGTGCTGATGAGGGGAGGGGGTGAGGAGGTGACTGAACAGCCCTATGGCCAATCAGCTGTCGTGTGGGCGGGGTAATCCGCATTGGTCCCAGCGCTGCACGGGCCCTCAAAGTTTGTTTATTCGCGGAATGCAGTGTGTGATGAAAACGTGTTCGTTAAGCAAAGACTTTTACTACTAAAATCAAGTCGAATCGAAGCCGCGGGATACTCGATCTGCCTTGGATAACGCTGTGTGTTTGTGAAAGCTCCTGGTGGACAAGCCATGCAACGGTGACGCACGGGACAGGCGTTTTGCCAAGACTTTTGAAGTCCGAAAAGTGCGTAAAGAAGACAAGGGACTGCCGGATGACTGGCCAAGAGTCAGAGTTTGGACAAACTTAGCAAAGGAACGGAGAAGGAAGCGCTGCCTGGAGATGCGGGCTGCCAGCGTCCAACTGTGACTCTCACGTAGCAAGGGGTTAACGCGCGTCCACGGGGAGTTGGGACAAGCTCTGCCTTTCCTTCTTTCGGATCAACTCATTGGGTGGGAGCTGAGAGAGAGACAAGAGTCCCCAGCAAATCAGGAGCTAATTGATTAAAGAGACTTCATTTGAATAGGAGGGGGGCTGGCGAGGTGCCAATCGCCTTTCAAACAAGCCCCCTCCGTATGATTAATCGAGCAGCGTTATTGATAATCATAACAGGGCACATGCGCGGTGGATGGGCTCCATTTACGTAATTTTTCAGTGGGGTTTTGTACTCATTTTTTTATTCGGCGCCTGCTGATGTGCCAGCCAGCATGTCGCGGAGGAAACAAGCGAAGCCGCAACACTTCCAGTCGGACCCTCTTCTGCCGCTACCCGAGCACAATGGTAAGTCACCCGTCCAGCATCAGCCATGTGCATTTAATATGCTTTATCACTCTCAAAAAGTATCTACTTTATTTTTGTATCTACTTTTATTATTGTTTGAAGACTACTTTGCATTGCAAGACCTCAAACTTTTAGCCTGATCTAAAAAGGTGTTTTTATTGAACTAATGGGCCTAATTTTATACGGGTTCTTTTTACGCCCGGAACAATTATTTAATTTGAATTAACGTTTAGTATGATTTTGGGAGGCTTATTGGTTTAAAGGATTCTAAACATGTTCAAGCAAAGTGAAACTGCCTGAAGTGTTCTCCGTGTCTGTCCGCCGTACGCGCTCAGTTCCTTGAACTTTCCCCGCTCTGATGGGACGCTTCTCTTCGCAATCGTTAAAACATTCTTTTCCTATTGTCGAAGATTGAAGTAAGTGTGTTCCCATAGGTTGTTTTTTTATTTGAGCGTTTATATTTAATATACTATTTATAATAATAAAACATGTATTATTAGTATTCGTGTTATAGCCAACTACCGATACAATATTTATATTTGACAGATTTCATAATGTATACTCATCGAAATACATCGATCTTGTGCAATAAGAGTAATGTTTGCGATCTCTTTTCTGTGATCCACATTGTTCTATTGCTAAAGAATTTTTTTTTTTGTTTAGAAAAAACGTAGTTATGATAATTCCTAACTGTTCAAAAGTTCAAAAGCTTTTTCCTTCAATGGAAACTGAGGTGAAATTATGCTTTATACGGATGACATTTGTTGAAGGAAAGGCCTTTTGTGCACAATACATAAATCATAAAGTAAAGGCTCTATAAGAAAGAAAGAAAGATCCAATAGTCAGTAAAATTGTTCAAACAAATTATCTTGTCCTACCTGGATGTGTGCATTTTTTTTTTATTATTCAAATTAAATTTCTCATTTAAAATGCTGCAGGCAATAGTGAATGGATTTATTTAACTATCACTCCAATGGTTTTCTTTTAACTTTTAAATGTAAATCTGAAAAGTCCTTCACAAGAACGTTTCTCCCTGGACTGTTTAGTGGGACAGTTATGGTCAGTTGTCTTAAGTGGGTGAAATGGAAGTGGACAAAGTGTGTTTAGATCCTGGGAGGTCGCCGTGAGAGCCACAGAGGGTGGTTTGTGCTGATATTTTAACCTTTGCTTGTGTCCCTGTGTGCGGAGGCGACCAGAGTTCAGGCTCCACTGTGGGTCACCATGCATTGACCCTGCTGTTCTGAGCCTTTTCCCTAAGTGTGTGTGCGTGTGGACAGGCCCTTATCAATTCTGTGACCATCCCCTTTTACCCTATCACAGCGGGCCCCTGTAGATTGACCCCCTCTGCAAATAGCGCTCTAACTTGTCATTTTGCCAGTGTTTATTCGGCATGGGCCTAGGTGTAGCCGCAGGACTCGCCTTTTCCCTCCCCCTGAGCTTTAAGCATGTCACCAGGGCATCAGCACCGTGTAGACGGCTACGGCTTTAGAGGAGCCCTTCTTGTGTTCAGAGGGATCTAGAGGTGAGGAAACTCTCCTAAAGTTAGATGTCATGGGGCTCCATCTAAATAATGTAGGACATTTTCTTATTTTTTATCTGAGTAACCCTGGCTTTCCTCTTGTTGTAGATGTCGATGTCCCAGGTCTGTCCTCTGGTTTTAGTGTGTGCTGATGCCTTCGGCTTTGCGTTGCATGGTCGCACATTAAAACCATCAAACTTCATCTTCATAGAAGTGTGTCTTCTTAGCTTTGTTTTATTTCAGACTGCAGTATTTCTACTATGAGAATTTAACCTACGCATAACATTTGGTCTTCGAAGGTGACCAAATAAAATATACAGTTTATTATTGTACGGTGTTTGGTTCCCCACATTTTTATTTTGTGCAATTTTAGGATAACAAAGCAAAGCAAAACATTACTAATTAAATTAAAACCTAAATCAAGTTACACCCCAATTCCTCAATGACTTTTTTGTTGTTACATTGCTTATTCTGTCTTTTGTATTTTCTTATTTCTAATGCGCAGTGTTACCTAGTGTATTTTTACATTTAGCTACACACCGTGACTGAGTGTTTAGGTGTGTTTAACACAAATTGACTTGCTTTTTTTGTAAGTTTCATTTTGCAGAACTTGAAAAAAAAATAATATTGCTAATTTGATTTCATAAATTATAACTTAATATAGTAATGTAATAGGCATTTGCTATGTAACACACTCTCCTAATCCTTCCTACTTTGTATTGTTGGTGGGTTGGTGGGCAGCTGGCTGAAAGGGAGATCTGATGTGGAAAGTTATCATTAAAGTTGACTCTTCCGTGTGTGCATGGTTTGGTGGTGTGAGGGCCAGGGTTTACTGTCATGGTAACTTTGCCTTATCTGATGTCTGAGAGTGGAGAAACATTGAAGGAGATAATCCCTGAATTGAACAGGATCTGCTTTGAGGCGACTCGGAGATGAGCAGGGCCAGGCTGTGCCGGCGAAGCCCGCCGCTCCCATGCTGCGCACACAATAGGAAGGCATCCTGTCTCTCTGTGGGGCAGGGCTGCACTTCTCTGGTTTTCATTTGCAAATGAATTCTTGGCCCTGATGAAAGTGTGGAGGGGCTAGATCCACAAAGAAAGGGATTCATAGAGAAATGCAATTTGTAAATCAACTTGTATGTTAAACAGAGGAATTTGAAAGCGACAAAGAATGAATAGGGAGAACTCTGGAACACAGTGCTGGGTCACAGTGGGTTTTTTTTCTTTATGAACAACGTAGTAAACATTTCAAAAACACTTGAGGTTGTTTTTCTTTTTTCTTCGTCTTTTTTCCTTTTTTATTGAGAATGATTTCTCGGTAAATATATAGTTCAAGTCTATGGGTTTTTTGCGCTACGAGCAGAGATTGCAGCTTGAGTGGATACAAATTGGTTTAGGGACACAGATAAACTGTCAAAGATGTCTAGTTGGCTGAAAATGAGCAGACGTGACAGCAAATTGAATGTCTAATAAGTCCTTCAAATGCTTGATTTTGTGCAAAGTGAACAAGTAGACTTTGAAGGGCATGAGGTATTGGAAATCAATGGCCTTTTATGGAATTATATTAAGAGTCGTTCACGCTGTGCTTTATTTAGAATTGATTATGTGATTAGAAATAGTATATGAACAATTATAATATTTTGGAAATAAAACACTTGCAAGCATCATGTCTAAGATTTTTTTTTTTGTCACCACATTTTGGCATCTTTCATAGGTCATTTTCTTCACATAAATTAGTGAACACAAGTAGTGTAAAATGTATTTACTATAGGATAGATGGATGAAAATAAATATAGCTGTTTCTGAATTAAAATTTCCTTCTTTTTTTTCAGTGGATCCAGAACTTTGCTCTGAGGAAGCCCAACTCAAGGACGCCGATGTTCACGTATGCAACAGATGTTGTGCCGAGTTCTTTGAACTATTTGATCTTGAAGAACATCAGAAAAATTGCCCTAAGAATCAGTTAGTTCTGATTGTTAACGAAAATCCTGCCTCTCCTGCTGGAACATTTTCACCTGGATCGCCCCAAAATCCTGATGACCTGATGAATGACATTGTAAATAACACAGACCCTGCTGAGTCTAGTCCTCTTCATGAGCCCGACGTTCTTAACAAAGATGAAACTATGGATGTGGACGTTTCAGGAATGAGCAGTGGCCATGAGGAAGACAGTAGTCACACAGAAAGTAACAGCCCTGTGCATTCTGGCATCAGAGCATCAGGTCCTACTCTTGGCACGTCACCCATTTCTGCCTCTTTACCTCAGCTTGGTAACCTGGCTGAATTGGGAAATTTCTCTATGATTAACAGTAATGTAATAATTGAAAATTTGCAAAGCACCAAAGTGGCTGTAGCTCAATTCTCACAAGAATCTCGTGGTAATGGGGGGCCAAGAGTGGCAGTGCCGGCTCTAATGGAGCAGCTCCTCGCTCTGCAGCAGCAACAAATTCACCAGCTTCAACTCATTGAACAGATTCGCCATCAGATACTGCTGTTGGCCTCACAGTCCCCTGAGATGCAGGCAGCACCCACCTCTGCAGCAGGCAGCGGAGGGGCAGCAGCAAGTCCTCTGACTGCTCTAAGCTCCCATCTTTCTCAACAGCTGGCTGCAGCTGCAGGCCTCGCACAGAATCTTGCCAGTCAGTCAGCCAACATCAGCAGCTTGAAACAACTGGCTGCTGCAGCACAGCTACCTCAGCCCGCTCCCTGCAGCAATGAAAAATCTCATAGTATGAGCACACTCGGCCCATCTGCAGGCCCTCAGTCTTCTGACAAGAGACCAGCTCATATCAGTAGTCTGCACTCTCAACTCAGCAGCTCTCCACTAGTGAAGTCCTCCACACCAGCATTTGGCATCGGTAATTTGTTAAACTCTGCAGTTAATCCCCTACTACCTCAGTCCCAATCTGGAAACCCCATGTTCTCAAGTTCTATTCCAACCGTCGGTACCACTGTAGAGGACATCAACTCTTTAGCAGCTTTGGCCCAGGCAAGGCAAGCCAAAGGCAAGCCACCCAATGTCACTTCCTTCGAACATAAGAGCAGCTCGGATGAGTCGTTCTTTAAGCATAAGTGTAGATTTTGTGGCAAAGTGTTTGGAAGTGACAGTGCCTTGCAGATCCATTTGCGCTCTCACACTGGCGAAAGGCCATATAAATGTAACATTTGTGGCAACAGGTTCTCCACCCGTGGAAACCTAAAGGTTCATTTCCAGCGTCACAAAGATAAATACCCACACATCCAGATGAACCCCTACCCAGTCCCCGAACATTTAGACAATATCCCAACTAGCACAGGTATTCCATATGGTATGTCCATGCCCCCTGAGAAACCTGTTACTAGTTGGCTTGACAGCAAACCTGTGCTTCCCACGCTAACCTCCTCAGTTGGCATGCTGCTTCCACCAACTATGCCAAGTCTCCCACATTTCATAAAAAAAGAAGATCACTCAATAGCCATAATGAGCCCCTCTGCTTCAGCAAAAAGTGACATTGGTGCTGCAGAACCTTCTGCAAAAAGTGACGGGGCATCTGAAGAAGGTGAAGGTGCAACTCTGCCTACCTCAAATGGAAAAAATGAAGAGGGCAGCCAATCCTCAGGCTTAATGACAAATGTTAGTTCTGCCTCTGATAGCACTGCTGAATACACTACATCTAATAGCCCACCCATGATGACCAACCCACTCATGCCTCTCATGTCTGAGCAGTTCAAGGCTAAATTTCCCTTTGGCGGCATCTTGGATCCGCTCCAGGGGTCAGAGACCTCCAAACTTCAGCAACTTGTGGAAAACATTGACAGAAAAGTGACAGATCCTAATGAATGTGTTATCTGTCACAGAGTACTGAGTTGCCAAAGTGCTCTAAAAATGCACTATCGTACACACACAGGCGAACGTCCTTTTAAATGTAAAATCTGTGGAAGGGCATTTACCACCAAGGGCAATCTAAAAACACACTACAGCGTCCACAGAGCCATGCCGCCTCTAAGAGTGCAGCACTCCTGTCCTATTTGTCAGAAAAAGTTCACAAATGCTGTTGTTTTACAGCAGCATATTCGCATGCATATGGGTGGTCATATCCCTAATACCCCACTACCTGATAGTTACCCTGAATCCATGGCCTCTGACACTGGCTCCTTTGATGAGAGGAACTATGATGATCTTGATAACTTTTCTGATGATAACATTGAAGGAATGGAGGAGGGTCCTGACAGCAGTGTGCCTGATACACCCAGGTCTGCAGATGCTTCTCATGACAGTCCGTGCAACTCTCCGACTCCTCTCGATGTTGGAGGCCAGGAGGGATATGAGAGAAACAATCAGTTAAATACCCAACATATGGAAACTGAAGGAGTACAAATTAGTCAATTGAAAACTGCTGCCAATGGCTCAGGTGATGGGGATTGTTTCACCTATGACTCTTCATCAATGGGAGGGGATTTTGAAAGCCAAAGTGCCGGAAGTCCCGCTGTGTCTGAATCTACCTCCTCCATGCAAGCACCTTCTCCAACTAATATTCACCCTCAAATACGCAAATCTCCTACTCTTGAAGAAAGGCACCATAGATCATTTTCTATGGATCATACAAGTCTTTTGCACTCTCAGCCTCCAAACACAGCCCTTGACCTTACATCAGTCAGTTCATCGAAAGACCCCCTTGGCATGATTTTCCCCTTCCGTGAGCGCAGCATTATCAAAAATACATCGTGTGACATATGTGGTAAAACCTTTGCGTGTCAGAGTGCCTTGGATATTCACTATCGAAGCCATACCAAAGAAAGACCTTTTATTTGCACGGCTTGCAACCGGGGTTTCTCAACTAAGGGCAACCTCAAACAACACATGCTCACCCATCAAATGAGAGACCTGCCGTCACAGCTCTTCGAACCATCCAACACTAACCTCTCGTCCAGCCCAACCCCTTCTCTTCTCTCTGTGGGGCCGCTCAGCAAACCTGAGTTGAACGGCTTCCTCCACGGCCTCCACCCAGAGAGCAAGGACTTGGCCCCGACTATGATCACATCTTCAGCCTCCACCTCCCCTGTGCTGTCTGCTCCCCCTCCACGCAGAACACCCAAACAGCACTTCTGCAACGCCTGTGGGAAGTGCTTCTCATCCTCCAGCGCTCTGCAGATCCACGAGAGGACACACACCGGGGAGAAGCCGTTTGCCTGCAGTATTTGTGGACGTGCTTTCACCACCAAAGGAAATCTCAAGGTAAATACAGAATGCTCTAATGCAACATGCTGGGGTTGAGCTTTGTGTATAAAGAGCATTATTAGTGAGAAATGTTAAGTGTATATAAATGTGAAGGCCTAACTAGGAACCTTTCCTACTAACTTTTTTCCTGTAAATAGGTCTACTCATTTACGTTCTGGGATAATAAAAAAAAAAAATAGTAAAACATGTTTTCCATCTTAATCCATACCATAATGGGAAAATGAAAGTCTAGAACAAATTAAGTTGTTTACTCCTACCCCATAAAGCACAAGGGAACTAACTTGTCTGTTGCACCCAGGGTGTGAAACTATTTTCATTTGAAGGAGAGCGTTATTATTATTTTTCCATTGCATCATCTCAGCCATAGCGGTCGAGTTTGTAAACATCACTCATTGTTTTCTCTTCTTGTTTTCTCTCTCTTCTCTCAGGTTCACATGGGCACTCACATGTGGAACAGTGCTCCTGCCAGACGGGGCCGCCGGCTCTCTGTGGATGGGCCCATGGCCTTCCTGGGAACCAATCCGGTCAAGTTTCCTGAACTTTTTCAGAAAGACATGGCACCAAGAGTTGGCAATGGAGACCATGCCAGTTTTTGGAACCAATATGCTGCAGCATTTTCAAATGGCCTCGCCATGAAAACAAATGAAATCTCTGTTATTCAGAATGGAGGACTACCACCTATGTCAGGCGTTATAGGAAATGGTGGTAGCTCTCCAATTGGTGGAATGACTGGCAGCTTAGACAAGCTGCACAGCACAGAGCCCAATGCTGCTCTTGCCGGGCTTGAGAAAATGGCAAACACAGAGAACGGTGCCCACTTCCGCTTCACACGGTTCATGGAGGACAATAAAGAAATTGTAACCAGTTAAATAGTATGTGTATGGTTTTAGTAGTGTAAACATGTAAACACCTTCAGAATATGAGAACGAACAAGACAGGGACAAAATCAAGTATCTGCTTTGCTCACTATTGAATCTTTGTAGAAATCAGTGTGAAGACAAAGCTGTTTTTTTGTACAATGTACATGTTATAGTTTTAATGAGCTTATTTATTAGTGGTTATAACCTTGCTTGAATCTAAATGGAAGCATTAACACTTAGGTTTTTGTTTAAAGTGAGAATGGATGTGTGTGAGCGTGCGAATGAATGTGTGTGTGTGTGTGTGTGTGCTTTCAAAATGTGCTTTTGAAATTTAGAGAACTGGTTAGAGAACTTTAACTTGACATTAAGTTATTTTCTGTCTGTAGTACCTATATCCAAACTGTCAATGTTCATGTGATGCATTATCCTTGTAATAAGCAAAGAGACTTGCTGTAAATAATGTATACTGATCCTGTGTAGACGGTCTAACCTCTGTGTGTCCATGCGCCCCCACTCTCCTCATTCAGGCAAGTTGATCATTTTCAGGCAAATGCTTTAGGTTTTGTTTTTGGTTTCTTTCACTTGTTACATTATTTAAAGAGAAGGACTGGTATTTACATTTTCTTAATATCAGTGTTTTAGAGTTTGGTTGTTACATTTCAATTATTGTTCTTGTACCTTTTAAATGACTTATTTTTTATCTGTTGTTGGTTCATTTGGGAATATTTGAAACAATGCCATGTTTACCTTTTATTGACAAACAATCAATTGAACAAGATTCTGAGGTTTTTCAGCTGGATTCTCACATTGCTGCTATGTCCCAGCAAACTCCTCAAGACACTCAAGAGCAAGTTCTGATTTAAAGCTTGTGTAAATAGGTTGTCCCACAGAAAATATATACAGACCACTCACACAAGCTCGTCATTACATGGCAAAATAGTGTTTTTATAAGTATAAATAGCCTATTGGGTTTGACAACCTTCGGACTGTTTCATGCACTTTCTTGGAAAGTTGAAAGATCTTTATGGGTCCAGTTTCTCTACACTTTAATACCTACTAACAACTAAGATACTGTAAATCTTTACTCTATTAATCAAATACATCAGTTTTCCAAAAGAACAAAGTGTGTGTGTGCCTTTATTCTCTTCTTCTTTCACTATACATCACCATCACCAGTTGCCTATGTGTTTTCTTAAAATCATATTTGGTGAGATATCTTTTCATATACATTACCATCGAGACCGTACTCCACGTTTGCTGCTCTTGACTTAACCCGGTGCTTTTAGCTTTTGCTGAAGAGCGGTCTGTCCACGGAGTTCGCCTGGATATATTAGCGTCATACAGCCTCTAAAGAAGCTGTCAAAACCATCGCACGGTTATCCAGATAAATCCTTTGACGGCTTTCAAGGTATTTGCCTCGTCCTTTCTCTTCATACAAGTGCGTTTTCCCCTTTTATATTTCAACAGCTGCATTTAATTTTACACATCGTTGCACATCCTGCTACAGGATCTGACCATTTGAAGCGGGCGTCACCGCATGCGCCTCCGCGATCCTCCGCTGCTCTCCCGCAGCTCTCCCGCAGCCGCCTAAGGCCGCTCATGAACGGGCACCGACGGGCACAGATCAGGCGGGAGACATGGCGAGCAAGGGCGTTTAAGTGCGTTTGAGTCGGTTTGAAAGGGTAGGAATAATATGGATATCAACTAAATACAACTATACAATAATTAAAATACTTTCTTGTAATAGTGCCGTGGATAAAATAGCGTATCACACACACACATATATCGCTGTTTGACAAAATACACGCTGAACATTATTGGGTCTGCTGTTGACTCTCGTGTGCATAAAGGCCGTTTAATAAGCTTTGGCCTATCGATCGAGGCGTGCTGTATTACAGAAACACTTGATTCTCAGGTGTGTACTATGTGAATGTGTACAATTGATCTCTTCCAGAGTGGCTCCCAGCAGTGACGCCAAAGCCAATGGCTGCTCCGCGCACACGCACTCCGCTGCTCATCCTTGAGTCTGCCCTCTGCATCCACACTTTCTCAACGTGTAGGCAACTATAGACGGTGAATTTACTCACTTACAGTAGTGAGAATAAGCATAGGCTTTCATATTTACCATTTAAAAATCACCATAATAATATTTTTTCTTCAGCGTCATTATTTTGGGCTGATATGACTAATATATACACTCATTGTTAAAGGCATACTCTACCAACATTTATATTTGCTTTTTTTATTTTGTAGTGAGTGTAAAACTGTCATTTATAGGGAATATTGTGAGTTGTGTGTTTCGCAGAAGGGTGGGAGCAGAGATGATCTTGAAAAGCCTGCATGCACATCCCCCTGTGTGAGCCACTGTCAGGCCGCTGAGTCAATACTTGCTGTAGCCTGGGGCCCGGCTGGTACCCCACTGAGGTTCTGGGCCACCGCTGGGAGATCAAAGAGCCACTCACAACAATGGTGAGCCTCATCGGACTATAGCCATGCTTGACTTTCTCTGGACGCCACACCTGCCCACACTGTCAGTCACACTTAACATGGGCCGCCTTTAATTTGTATTGAACTGTGGATTAGTGCGTTGCATTGTGCTATATACAGTAACCATGTATTTTCACACATTGACTTACAATTACGCACATACAGTAATTAGCCATAGTTTAAATAATAAATACATAATAAATAATAAGTCTTGATCTTTTTTCTTTTTTAAACTCTGACAATGCTTTCTGCTTTTTCATCTACGGCTGAGAACTGAGCTCACACGTGTTCTTTGTAGGTAAAGCTCGTCTTTAAAACGCCTTTTCGAATTTTCATGCAGCTGTTATCTCCCTCAGCTCCTGGTGCTGCTTCCTGTGGAAAACGGAGGCCTGGCCGTGCATGTACACAGCTGCAGGTTGGGAAACAAGACCTCCAGATTGTAAGTACTAAACGCAAACATAAAACCAGATTTTTTCCGGGGCCTGTACACTCTCACATTTATCAAAGACGAGCAATCGAAATCTGCTTTGACATCATCTTGCCGCTATCACTGTAAAACTATGGACTTGATTGTTACCTGCAAAAAATAAACTACTGTGATTTTTCTGCAGTTCCACTACATGTCATAAGTATTATTTATTTACTATAATTATTGGTAACAAACGGGTTGTGGTATAAGCAACAGACAAACAGGTGGTTCTTATCCTGTCTCACTCAGGTCAAGATTAGTGTCCCGTTGTTCTCATGGTAAGATGGGAACCTTCAGGGATGCTAATGAATATACAGGACGCATTTGTCTCGCGCACAGTGTCTCCGTTATGTCTGCCCCTACTTCATAATGGCTGCTAAAATTGCAGGGCCATTTTACCAAGCTTTTATTTCACAACGACATTTAGCTCATTGTGGTGCAAATTCTTGAAAATGTGACGGCAACAGTTTGTTCATTCACTTCTGTGTAGATTCGTGACACTAACACTTTTGACAATCATCCGTTTTGCTTTGTCAAGAAAGAAATAAAACTCCACACAGGCTTGGCCTCATTGCCCCCCAAAGGCAAATTTAATTTAAGATCACCATTTAAAGATGCATCACATGTTTTCTTGTTTTGTGCTAAAAAAGAATGGCTGCAGATCGTCTTTCTCTGGTTTTAAAGAGCAGCTCTGAGATTAAGTAGGTTGATTGTAGTCTATTCTCTGTCAGAATTACACTTGGAAACCTAAACCAGGTCTGTCTGTTCTTGTGGCTTGGACACACACATAGACTCAGGGACACTTGTGCTAATGTCATCTCGCAGATTCAGTTTCCCCCCCATCCCCATCTGACCTTAAGCCCCCCATTCTTAAGACACTTATTTGTTCCCACAGTGTCAAAAGATGCTAGTGAGATGGAAAGATATTCGGCTTCCGGAGATATTGATATTGAGCGTCAACATGAAGTGTCAGGGCAGATAGGAAGAGACCCTTCAAGCTGCCTGTCAGGTGTGTTTGACTCCATATAGGTGCTTTGCTTAGTGTCGGCCTGAGTTTATTGAATTTGTCATTTTTGGCCGGGGGAGTGTAAAGGGCACCTGTGTGATGCCGTAAGCCCCCGCTTCAGTTGATCACCAGATGACAAGTGATGTGCAGGGACAGCCCCAAGCCACGGGTTTTTCTCAACGCGCTTCTTCGCTCGCCGTGTACTTTATTCAACAGTCACACAATATGTATACAGAAAAATATATGATAAATATACATATGTACTTTTAAGAGAGGCTTTGTGTATAGGGCTGATTTCTTATGTCTGTTTTTTTTTTTTTTTTTACAAAATCATGTCACAAAACAGCTGTCATAATTAAAAACACTTTTGTTTATACAAGCTCCATTTCAACAGCCACAGTTCTTGTTTTATCTCCATAATAATAAATTACTTTAAAGAATGTTGTCCTAATATGTAAGAATCCAGTCAATTTAATTTTCCGGTCAATTTACAAACAAGCATAAATAATTACTTCTCATAAAATATACTTTACTTGTTATAGCATTTGCATGTGTCGCTTTGCCATGTTATTTTCATCGCCATTATTCATAAAAAAATCCATTATCATATGGTCAGTCATTGGTAAATATGCCAAATGAATACAGTGAAATCCAGCTTGTAGTTGGAATCCACACGGACCACCCACATCACAGCAGATCAAGGCTTGCTCCTGATATTCTGTGTCTACAACTTTTGCCGATGGGCTAGTTTGGTCTCTGGGAAAAGCTGCGATAGGTTTGTTCCTCAAGTAGCTTTTGGATGAGCCTCACAACCACCCACTCCTGTGCAAAAAACATCTCAGTATTTTTCAGAGGTGATGTCGGCAGGAAAGTGGCTGCTCCTCTGCGTGTAATCGTATGTTAGATAAGGGACACATTAGGTCATGGCGATTCCCACAATGTGTTATTCAAAGTGGGGATCTGCATGTGTGGGTTATAGCCTCACTTGTGTATGTAACTCAATTGCAAAGCCAGACTTGGAGGGTGGACTCCCACTGGTGGCGAGACTGCATCACTCATCCGATTAAAGCGTCCGTTAAATGGCATGTGTTATGAGCGTGTTTTATGTCTCCCCACGTTCATGCCTTCCTCATGCTCTGTTAAGTCCATGCCATCTGTGATTAATAAGAAATATCCCAGATCCTGCAGGTTAATGTTTAATCAATCAGCCAGCAGGGAAACCTAGTATAGTTTTAACCAAAGCCGCACATCAAATGCAAGAGTTTATGTCGCAAAAACTAATTATTTTGGGTTGCAGCCAATGCTCAGACAGTGATGAGGAAAAAATGGACACTGTACCACCTGAAAAAAGCATTCTAAAACCTTCTTGCTGTTCATTTCAGAGTGAAAGTGGGTATACTTTTAATACAGTATTATAAAGACAGTTTGGTGTGTAACAGCAGTGGTATTAGACAGAAATATTTCTAACTGTAGACACAGGCCTCGAGGCATGGTTCAATCCTTGAAAAATCACTTTCAAAATGTATTATTTTGTTATGGACCATTGCCCCTGTTTCATGAAAATGTCCATATTGTGAGGCATGTAGCTCACAAAAAAAACAGACAAACAGACAAATGCTGGTGATCACTTTACTTCTTGGGTGGAAGTCAGATCACCATCAGTCCAGGATAACATTGAGGTCATATGATAATATAGACATGAACACTTACTTTTTAAATATTTTTTTCTTTCATAGAAGATATAAAATTGCAGCTATTGTATTGTTTTGCTTGTTGTCATAGTGTTTCGTCTCTCAGATGCTGCAGTATACTCTGTAGATGCACCTGCGCTCCAAAATCAACACCCCACTCAGCAATAATGCTCTCCGAGGCTTGACCGTTTTACTTAATAATCGATCCAAATAAAAGCTGCAGATAAAATTGACTGACCCTCATATACTTCATTATTGCTGCTATTTGACCAAATTGCATCTTTCAGGATGCAGAGTGTCACAGGCCATCAATATCTTGTTAATTGCTGTTAGTTATTGCCCTACTTTGTTACTGCTGTACATGGCCAGTCTCCAGTGGTCAGTTTGGCTTGTGCTCCGAGCGGATGAGATACTGAATGGTTGCGCAAACAATTTGATTATGGTGTTTAATTCCCGTCATATAGATCTGCAGGCCTGCTGATGCACTCATTTATGTGTGGCTATGGCAAAGTGCTGATCTGCATAGCTGCACCCAAAAGTGCTGCTTTTCTTAAACACTTAAGAATCAGCTCTTATTTACACACAGCTAGCAAAAGCAAGTGTATTAGCTTACATGTAACTATAAGAAATGTGGGGATTTCATTCAGTTTAATTTTTTATTGTCATTTTCATTATCATAATGGAAATGGGACTATGAGACTTCATATATGTTTTTATGTAATTTTCATTCAGACTGTGTTCTTTCTTTAAAACTACATTAAATAGGCCCACAGCAGAGTAAAGTGATGAGCATTGTCCTTAACTGTGGCAGTGTAACATGAGGAGCATGTAATGTTAACTCCCTCTATCTAAGCAGACCACCTTGGCCAATTGAAAAATGAGAAATAAATAGGGTAAACTCTCAGGGCCCGAAGTGCCCAGGTCCCAAAATTAACATTTCAATTCAAAACCAATAATAACGCATTGTGTCTGCCATGAATGAGTGCTGCTGCAAAGGGGAAGGCGATACCTCCTGTTCCTGTGTCAATGAAAAAGCTCCTTCATCTTGTGCTAAAGGGCCCACACAGTCTGAGGTCAGCCAGTCAGCCTTGGTTACACTGCACAGGCATGCCTGGCTGGACGGCTCAGGCTTCCCAGTGCTATTACAAAAGCCAGGAAGCTGCAGACACACAACAACACACAACCTATTCATACATATAGTCTACACATATGTCAGAGGCATTGTTTAAAGTGGTCTGCCAAGCACTGCTTAAGATGGTGTGATCTTATTACTGACTGTATAGTGAAGTCTTCCGACTCAAAGCCTTTCATGTAGAATTTCCAAGGTAACTGTATTAATTTGTTATGATATAGATGTGTTGGAACACAGCG